AGCTACTGATCAAAGATTTCACCTGGAAATTGCCAGATTGCTACACAGAAGAAATCACTGATCATATTGTATGGGTAAAGATATGGTTAGTCCTTGAATTACATCTGTAAGGGCACCTGCCAATTACGGTCATACGTTGCGACAGTTGTAAGATAGGTCATCCTGTGAGCCTTTACAACTTTCTTTTGCAATGGTTGTTAAGTGAGCCCATTGTTCACTGTGGTGCAGGCTTCCAAAAAACCCAAAACTAAATACCAATTTTTGGCAAAAAAATATCATAAAACACAGATAATTAGGAAATGTGGTCATGTTACCACATGGAACCCCCCTAGCTGTTGGAATTTCAGAATTGGGATTATAAGTACTTTTTTGAGGGAGGGGGAGCTAGGGTTATTTTGAATGGTTGCTATGCAACCATTTGTAAGTCAAGAACTACCTGTAAGGCAGGGGTCCCCAACCACCGGTCCGCAGACCGGTACCGGTCCACGGAACAACCCCTACCGGGCCGCGGCTTGCTGGGCGCCATCTTTTTTTCATGAAAAAGTGCTTCAGGTGAGCTTTTCCGGGTAGAAAGCTCACCGGAAGCACTTTTTCATCAAAAAAAGATGGCGGCGCCCAGCTGATGCCGGTACCGGGCCGCGGCGCCCAGCTGATGCCGGTATCAGGCCGCGGCGTCAAAAAGGTATGTATCTTTTGTGGCTCAGTTCTTTTAAAAGGCACCCAGTCCGAACAATATTTCTAATTTATTTATCTATCTATATCTATCTCTGTCTGTATCTATCTATCCATCTATCTATCTCTATCTATCTATCAAATAATAATTTCATTAGTCATTTGAGCCTCTGTTGAGCTTCACAAGCACTTTGTGAGGTATTAGAGTAATTTCCCTCTGAGGAACAGCAATCAAATGGCAAATTTGATCAATTCCATCCATCATTCTGTGACTGATTCACAGATGACACTAAATCAGGGTTGAAAAACAAATCAAAACTGATTTTTTTCCCCGATAGGTTGCAATAGCCTGGTTTGCATATTGTGGTAAAAGATCACGGAGGAGTTTATGCTCAGCCGAAATGAAGGCACATCGGGGCAGGTTTTTCCTGACTTGCTGTATTTCTTTTAAATCCTTAAACAAAGTTTAAGGCCAGGGTTCAAATCCACCATTTTTAGGATGTTCTCCAAGAACCTCTTTCAACCCAGAGGATATTGAGTACGAGGGATCGATCGGAAGCCTCCGTGCTCAACCCTTTGGAAAAAGGGCAAAGAAGAACAACTAAGATGATTAAAGGTCTGGAGACTAAAACATATGAAGAGCGGTTGCAGGATTTGGGTTTGCCTAGTCTGGAGAAAAGGACATGACAGCAGTATTCCAACATTTCAGAGGTTGCCACAAAGAGGAGGGCATCAACTTATTTTCCAAAGCACCAGAAGGCAGGACAAGAAACAATGGATGGAAAATAATCCAGGAGAGAAGCAATTTGGAATTCAGGAGAAACTTCCTAACAGTGAGGACAATTAACCAGTGGAACAGCCTGCCTTCAGATGTTGTGGGTGTATCTTCCCTGGAGGTTTTTAAGAAGAGACTGGACAGCCACTTATCTGAAATGGTACAGGATCTCCTGCTTGATCAGGGGGCTGGACTAGAAGACCTCAAAGGTCCCTTCCAGCTCTATTCTGATTGAACCAAAGGGGCTACCTGTTAGGATGGGAGTGCCATGGAGCTCTGATTATAGGTAGGCCTTGACTTAAAGCCACTCATTTAGTGACCACTGAAGTTACAATGGCACTTATGACCGGTCCTTGCACTTATGTCCTTCACACCTAGAGGCCACACCTAGAGTACTGTATCCAGTTTTGGTCACCACATTATAAAAAAGATGTTGAGGCTCTAGAAAATGTACAGAGAAGAGCAACCAGGAGGATTAAGGGACTGGAGGCTAAAACCAATGAAGAACAGTTGCAGGAACTGGGCATGGCTAGTCTAGTGAAGAGAAGGACCAGGGGAGACATGAGAGCTGTCTTCCAATATTTGAGGGGCTGCCACAGAGAGGAAGGGGGTCAAGCTATTTTCCAAAGGGTCTGTAGGCCAGACAAGGAATAATGGATGGAAACTGAACAAGGAGAGATTTAACCTGGAAATAAGGAAAAAAACTTTCTGACAGGGAGAACAATCAACCCATGGAACAGAAGTTGCCCTCAGAAGTTGTGGGAGTGCCATCACTTGAGACTTTCAAGAAGAGACTGGACTGCCATTTGTCAGAAATGGTGTAGGGTCTCCCGCTTGGGTGGGGGGTTGGACTAGATGACCTACAAGGTCCCTTCCAACTCTGATTATCTGTATCTGTATCTATCTGTACATCATCCCGGTGGTCCCTTGATCAAAATTGAGGTGCATGGCCACCGGTATTTATAATGATTTCAGCAGCATCCCAGAGTCATGTGATCAGCATCTGGGACCTTCCCAGCCAGTTATGACCAATTGATTGATGGGGAGCCAGATTCACTTAAGAACTGCATGATTCACTTAACAGCTGCAGTGAATTGCTTAACTACCATTGCAAAAAAAAAAAACCTTAAAACTGGGCACACTGAAATTCTTGTTCCAAGCGTGGCCGTAAGTTGAAGACTCCCTCTAGTTTTCCAAGGCAGTATTATGATCGACAGTTTTTGACGATCAGCCCCTCCATAAATTGGTCTAATCTACTGTTTCCCGAAGTGTAGTGCAGGGATTGTCAAATCAAAGTTATTTGCCAGCCTGTACTGAAAGATAATATTAAAATCCCATCAACATCAATTCTTTTATTGGCCAAGTGTGATTGGACACACAAGGAATTTGTCTTTGGTGCATATGCTCTCAGTGTACATAAAAAGAAAAGATACATTTGTCAAGAATCATCAGGTACAACACTTAATGATAGTCATAGGATACAAATAAGCGATCAAGTCATACTAGGAAACAGTCAATATAAATCGTAAGGATACAAAGTTTACAGTCATACTGTAAAACAATTGTGAGGCCCACTAATGGCAAGAAATGTGTTAATTTTTTTTAATATGGTAAATATGGATAGATATAATAAATGCAAACAAGAGCTCTTTTGGAGACCTCCATAGTTTTTATAAGTGGGAAGAGGTTCCGAGAGAAAAACATTTCAGAAACACTCATTTAGTTGATTGTTTTAACAATGCATGACAGAAACATATTTCTTCAGCTTTTCTGAAACTTCTATCGCTCAGCTTCATTAAATAGCCTCCCAAAGAGCAGAAAAGGACAAGAAGCAATGGGTGGAAACTTAATCCACGAGACAAACAACCTGGAATTAAGGAGAAATTTCCTGACAAAACAATCAACTAGTGGAACGACTTTCCTCTGGAAGTTGTGGGTGCCTCAACACTGGAGGTTTGCAAGAAGAGATTGGACAGTATAAGGGTTTTCTGCTTGAGCAGGGGGTTGGACTAGATGACCTCCAAGGTCCTTTCCAATTCTGTTGTTCTTGTGTTGGAGCACTGATTGTCTAGATCAGTATTTCTTGAATTAGGCAACTTTGAGGCGTGGGGATTTCCCAGCCAATTTTAATATTCTGGAGGAAGAGGAAACGGACCAAGTTTCCGATCCCCAAGTCCTTAAATCAGGTATTTCTCAAGACTGGCAACTTGAGAACCTAACACCCAACATCAAAAACGTCATCAAAAAAAGCACAACGAAGAATGTTCTTTCTGCGCCAACTCAGAAAGCTCAAACTGCCCAAAGAGCTGCTAATACAATTTTACAGAGGAATTGTTGAGTCTGTCATCTGCACCTCTATAACTGTCTGGTTTGGTTCTGCAACCCAACAGGACAGACACAGACTTCAGAGGATAATTAGGACTGCAGAAAAAACAATTGTTACCAACCTGCCTTCAATCAAGGACCTGTATACTGCACGAGTCAAAAACAGAGCTGTGAAAATATCTACAGACCCCTCACATCCCGGACATAAACTGTTTCAATTCTTTCCCTCAAGACGACGCTATAGAGCACTGCACACCAGAACAATTAGACACAAGGACAGTTTTTTCCTTGAACGCCATCATTCTGCTAAACAAATAACACTGTCCAACTATTTACAAAGTCTGCTATACTATTACTATTAATCTTCTCATCACTCCTTATTACCCATCCTCTCCCACTTGTGACTGTATTACTGTAACTTTGTCACTTGTATCCTTACGATTTATATTTGACTGTTTCCTAGTATGATTTGATTGCTTATTGTACCCTATGAATATTATTAGGTGTTGTACCTTATGATTTTTTATTTATGTATTTAATTTTGTCAAGTGATTATTAGATAACAGGTATAAGTATAAACATGGTTATAAATACATGAAATGGATATGAATAAGAAAAAAGAAATAGGACAGGGACACCCCCTACAGACCTCTTAGGAAAGGGGTGAGGTCAATAGTAGACAGTCTAAGGTTAAAGTTTTTGGGGTTTGGGGAAAAAAAACCATAGAGTCGGGTAGAGTATTCCAGGCATTGACCACTCTGTTGCTGAAGTTGTATTTCCTGCAATCAAGTTTGGTGCGGTTTACCTTGAGTTTGTATCTATTGTGTGCTCTTGTGTTGTTGTGGTTGAAGCTGAAGTATTCATTGACAGGTAGGACATTGCAATATATAATTTTATGTACTATACTTAGATCGAACCGAAGGCCACATAGTTCTAGGTTTTTAATTCTAAAATTGTAATTCTAAAATTCTTGACGAATGCATCTTTTTTTTTTATGTACACTGAGAGCATTTGCACCAAAACAAATTCCTTGTGTGTCCAATCACACTTGACCAATAAAGAATTCTATTCTATTCTATATTAAGGTGGGTGGACTTCAACTCCCAGAATTCCCCAGCCAGCTTTTAAGACTGTGGAGGAAACAGGAAGCCCGCGTGTTGGTGATGCACGTGCGTGCCTTGAGCCTCCACAACACACAATTCCAACGAGGGTGGAGGCGATCGCTTACCCAGTACCAGGATCCGGTCCCCCGGCTTCAGTTCCGCCTCCAGCTGTTCGCGGAAAGACTCCAAGCCCCCGAACCACTCCGTGGGCTCGGCTCCCTCTTGCTCGTACCGGGCGTCCCAAAAGCCCCGTTCCCGATACCGGGCGTTGGAAGCCGGGCGCTGCCTCCGCGGGGCCTCCATGGGGGAAGGAGGGAGCCGAGGCGGAGGAAAGCCCGGCGACCACCGAATGGTTGAACTGCCCCCCTCTCGCCCCCCGCCTCCCGCCTATGCTTGGCAGCCCTGGGAATCTTGCTCGTCCACGTGGCCTGGCAAAACCACGTGGAGCTTCCGGTGGCTGAGCCGGGAGGGTGGATAAAAGCGCTCCCCCGCCCCCGCCCCGCCCGGAAACGCGACCCAGGAGGGTTTGGGTCTCTGCCAGCAGCTGTCCGCTTTCTTGGCCGCAGCGTTTCCTCTTTCAGGTCTGTAGTAGAGCAAGTGTCTTCAAACTCGGCAAGTTTAAGACTTGTGGACTTCAAATTCTCAGAATTCCTGAGCTAGCATGACTAGGAGGAATTCTGGGAGTTGAAGTCCACAAGTCTTAAAGCTGTCAAGTTTGAAGAGCCCTGTTGTACAAAAGATTCTCAGTCATCCAGGTCATGGTTGTCCCAAAGGTGCTTTTTCAGGAGGCAACTGGACTTTCTGGTTTCTTTTTTTCCTTTGAAGTCGTTTCGCTTCTTCTCCAAGAAGGTTCTTCAGCTCTGACAGGATAGTGGAGAATGGAAAGATTTATGGTCATGGCCAGCTGTCTGCAAGGAATATAAATCCTTCCATTCCCCACCATCCTGTCAGAGCTGAAGAAGCTTTTTGGATGAGAAGTAAAACATCTTCAAAAGAAAAAAAACCCAGAAAGTCCAGTTGCCTCCTGAAAAAAGCACCTTTGGGACAACCATCACCTGGATCAGGGGT